AGGTTCATCAGGACGTTCATAGTTCCTTCCAGCTGTGGATCTTACTGTTGAAGACAAAGGCTTGTGACTCTATGATTTGGGGCAGAATAAAATAAATGCTACAAGATAGGCCTTGAAGTTCAGAAAAGCACTTTTGTTTCATGGTCTCGGTTTGTGGTTCACTGGCTCCCTGACCTGGGGTCTGAAGTGAGGCAGAATATTATGGTAATGAGAGGGAGAGAACTGACGACCTCAAGGCCATCAGGAAGCAAACAGAAACAAGGGTCAGGGCACAGGATGTATCTTTCTAGTCTTAAACACCTCCCAATGCCATCATATCACAAACGCATCAAGGGGTTAACCATTCTTTAAGTCACAGTCTTCTGAACACAAACACTTCCCAAAACCCAACAACCTGGCCACTAAGTCTTCCATAATGAACCTGTGGGAGCAGGTTGGAGTCAAAGAGAAAGATGATTGTGCAGTCTCAATAATGATGCCAAGCAGCACAGTCGGACAGGAAGACAAGACACACGTCCTGCTTTCACCTTCTGATCTAATGCATACTACCTCCCACCAAGTGGGGGAGGGGATCCCATGTCCCCTCCTCCCACCAAACCCTCCATCCAGTCCTGTCCTGGCATTCCTGGTGCCCATTCCAAACCTTTGCTTTTACCTCATTTCTCTTTTCTCTCATTACAAATTCACCCTCTGGCTCCCATCTGCCTCCCACTGCTGTATGACAAATCCCTCCTAAAATAACACCAGTGACTCAGCGGTGGGGATTTTATTCCATTTATATGTCCCTTTCCCCAGGCCCCAAAGGGCACAGAGAGTTTCACAGATACTCAGGCTTTTCCTAGCCCCATTCTTCTAAAAAGGTTTTCCTGGAGAAAGGGAATGAAGATGTAGCTTGGGCTTGGTCTCAACTGCTTAGATATCAAGGAGATCTGTGGTGCTTGCTTCTCACCCCATGACTGTCCCTCTTCCGGTGGCCATGAATTCACCAGAACAGACTCTACAGCAGCAATTAGACCAAAATCTTATCAATCCTCTGTTGATTCTTAACCACTCACTGCAGCTGAAAACTTCAGAGGAGTCTCCGTTTATCAAGGTCATGACTTATCCAGTAGGTAGCCAAACCGTTGCAGCCTTGTGCATAAACCTGCACTTCTAAGTCAGGGTTTCTCAGCCTTCCTAATGCTGTCACCCTTCAATACAGTTCCTCATGTTGTGGTGGCCCCCAACCATAAAATTATTTTCATTGCTACTTCATGACTGTAATTTTGCTACTGTTCCGAATTATAATGTGAATATCTGTGTTTTCTGATGGTCTGAGGTTACCCTTGTGGAAAGGTCATTCAACCCCTGAAGAGTCGCAACCCGCAGGTGGAGAACCACTGCTCTAAGTGACTACCCTAAACTTGAATGCATCACGTTGTCCTCCCAGGGCCCCCACCCTATTAAATCTTGCCCTTGCCCTTCTGCTTGGGACCTCTCAGTCCTGGCCTCAAGCCACCTTTCCTCCCTGAGCTCTCTAACCCCCACCCACCCATAAGCAGTCTCCCTCGGGCGCCTCCATAATTTCTTTCACCGATTCTTCTGGCAAGAGTACCCACACTGGCCATTTATTCCTGGCAAGAATCTTGTAGGACTTAAAGGCACAATTCTTTTGTCACCTCTTCTGCAGAGTTTTATTTTTTTTAACTTTCCAAGAGTTTATTTAAGTTCACACACCAAACAACTCTCCTTTATGTTATTATATACATTCTACCTATGTCATTTTCTCAGTACTAAAACCTGTCATATCTGAACCTCCTGACTTGGGTCCAGCTCATTCTTTTGTGTTTTTTTCAACCACTCTACCATTTTACATTGAGTATTGAGTATTTATTAGATAGATGGATGTGTGTATGAGTTGTGTGTGTGTGATGTTCATAAAAATTCATTAGAAACCTATCATGTTCAGATATTTTACCAAGTTTTAGCTAGACATCAAGTCCACGGCCTCAAATTTCAACTACTAAGACAAATCAAATAAAATGATGCTCAGGGCAATATAAGCTATAACAGAGGGAAATCCAGGAGCTGATCCGGCACTTGGGAGGGACCTCACCTAGCCAGATGACATCAGATGAGAGAAGCCATGAGTTTGGCTGTCTGAAAGACCCAACTGAGAATGACTTTGATGACAGTCACCTGCATCATGACAACTAAGTAGATCCTAGTCACACATACTCTGTAGGAGTTTCACGGACAATCAGGAATTGAATAAATCAAAACAGACTCAGGTGAGGATTCTCTGTAAGTACACTGATATTGGGTGTGTTCCTTCTCGATCTTAACTGATACTTCCCCCAGGTAGTTAGCTCCAATTTTTGCCTGCAGATCTGATCATAACCAGTAAGTAATGCAAATCCTAAGAAACCATACATGCAATTTTCTTGTATCCTGATCCTGGCCATATGCGCAGAAGAAAGTGAAGAGGAGTTTGTTGACCTGGGCACTTGCCATGGAGAGCTGAGCCTGCCAGGCCAAGTTCAAAGGTCACTAAGTCCAGAGTCGCCTGCTAATTGGCTTCTTGGCCCTTGCCTTGTTCTCTATACTCTAAACTGATCAGTCAGTAGAATTCCCCAGTGACTTTAAAATGAAATATATACTCATGGGTCTGGAAGACAGGACCTTCCCGGGTTTCCAGTGTCTCTCCAACCTCTTTTTGCCCTTTTGCATTGCTGTGCTGCCTCCATTTTGTCTCTCAGATGTAGCAAATGCTTCCCCTTTCTTAGCACATCAAGGTCTTTCTCCTCCGCAATCTTTCATACGTGCTGCTTGTTTTCCTTGCCTGGAAGGTGATGGAACTGGACAGACAACTCTGGCTCGTCCTTCTGGTATCAGATTATCTTCAAGGTGAAAGCTGTCCAGACATCCCCTACACGGCAACACCTAAACAGATTTGTTGCTGTGCGCCCAAGGCTCTGCTTACCTACAAGTTCACTTGTTACCCTGCATACTTTAATGTTATCCCCACTGCAAGCCTATGGCAGTTTGGGGCACAAGGACCAGACCTCTTGTTTAAGTTCTGCATTGCTGCACTCCGGAAAGCCCTGGGATACACAAGCTGGATGAGTAGCTGGAGGAGGAAGCCTCCTATTTTCCAGAGTGAAGGGAAAGTGGGGAGAACTCATGAGAATAAAAGAGGATTTTTTTTTTCAGCTCTGGCACATAGAAGAGCCTCAGAGATTATCGAATGAATTAATTTATAAAATAAACAGCAGGATACATAAAAGTATTGTGTTTACTTGAGTCACCTGGTCATTACGCCTTCCTGTATAGGATAGTCATGGGAGAAGTGACTTCTGAGGAGAAGGCAGCTTCAACAGCTCAAGAGGCCAAACCTGGAGCCCTGCTCCCAACTGTTGAATCTGAATTCTGTCTATTAATGAGCAATGGCCCTTAAGAAAGCTAATGAATATTTTATGTCTATTGTTTTGTCTTTAATTGGGATTTGTCATGTGCCCAGGTGATCCATCACTAGCTAAGCAAGAAAGTACCCTCCATTGCTTAATAAAAAACAAAGCGTTTGTTAAAATTCTTTAAAACTGAGAAATCAAATGTTATCCATCTTCTTCATTCACCTCATTACCACTGTGATCCTCTGGGGTCTGGGAGTCATTTGGGAAGCACACATATTTAATTAAATCAGAAAAATCCAGTGTTGAGAGATGACACAGTGGTATAGGGCTTGGTGAAGACCTTGCTGCTCTTCCGGAGGACCTGGGTTCATTGACAAGCACCCTCATCAGGTGTCTCAGCCCCGCCTACAACTTCACTTCCAGGGGATCTGATGCCCTCTGTTCTCCTTAGGCCTCTGCACACATGTGGTTTACATAACTCACAAAACCCACACACTTGTACATATAAATTAAAAATGATCGATAAACTATTTTTAAAGATCAAAATACTACTCTGTTTATTGTCTGAGATGCTTGGTTTTCAGTCTCCTAAGGAAGCTGTTGCTGCTCACTAAGGCCTTGTCTTGTCTAACACGTGTTTGAAAATCACTGTGAACTACTGGCAATGGGAAAGAGTAGGTGGCTGGATCTCTGCTGGGAGGTGACAGTTTAGTGGTTTCTACTCTGGGTCTCTGTATAGACAGAAGTGGAGTGGCCCAGCAAGATGTCCTCAGGGAATGTCCAAAGGTCTCAATACCGCACAGCATCTCTCAGCAATTCTTCTTCAACTCAACTACCAGGATAATGTCAGTTCTTGCTTTCAGACAGCTTAATAAACACAGTGTAAACCATTGGCTTCTTGGATACCAGAACCACAAGCTGGAATCCAATCAGTCATTTAATAAGAACGCAGAAGAGCATAGTTTGGGATGCTGAGTGATCTGTAAATTGTGATCTTGTTGAGAGAGAGAGAGAGAGAGAGAGAGAGAGAGAGAGAGAGAGAGAGAGCCCACGTGACAAGGATTGGGAGCATTGAGAGCCCATAGGTAAGAATGCAGAGCTTAGACAATGGTAAGCAGAGTGCCAACAAGAGAACCAATCATAGGGTAGTGAGATAATTGCCTAATTTACAATACACCAACTTTTACTTGACCAACCTACCAAGAGGTAAGGGATTTTGCTCAAGTTGAGGTAGAACGGAGCCACTTTCTGGGTTGTTATCCCTTGGAATGGCAATGTGAGGACAGCTGGATGGTTTCTCACAACTTTGATAAACAACTCTCTACTATGAGACCGGACGGTGACTGTCACCGGCACACTACGATTTGTAGCTCACTGGTGGAGAACTATTGCACGCTGAACCCAAGAGAGATAAAGCCGGCTTTCATCTCCATAGACACTCGTCCAAGTGTCTCCCATCATGGAAACCAGAGACAGAGAGCAGGAGGGACAGAGGCCAAAGAGACAGAAATAAACGATATATTACCTTTCCCTCTGTATAATAAATGAAATATAGACCCATCCTCAATAATAAATATTTATTACTTATAACATTTAAAATGAGTGCCATAAAAAATAATAATAAACAACTTTATTCGTGCAACATTTCGTAAAAAGTAAATGAAGCACAATTAGTCCATGAGCCTGCGAACTGAGATGAGCTACTCGGCTGTTGAGGGAACACTGTCCCAGAGAGCACTACCCAGACAGGGTCATGGCTGAGCTGGTGGACCGCTGGGCTCTCGTGGGACTAGTTTCAGTGATGTTATTTCTGTCACGGGACTTCCTGTCCACAGTTCTGATCGCTGCTTTCACCCACTGGGCATGTGGATCAGCACAGATTTTCACTCCTCGTCTGGTGACAAAGCTAGGATGCAAAAAAGAGATAATGTTAGCTGTACTGTCCAATGAAAGAAGATCTGGACAGAAGTCAGCTGAAGAAACCATCTTTCAAACCCTGACACAACCCATGAGCGTCTTTCTTCTGTCATCTGTTTTAGGAAAGGGAGGGAAATCTCCAGGTGACAGCCAGCTGCTGGCGGCTGTCATTCACCGGTATAACCAAACACTGGAGCTAAAGTGGACTCCTAGGACCATTTAGTTCAGCTGACCCGTACCTCCTTCCTTTTCCAGCCTGGAACTATCCACCTCCTTGGGGGAATTAGAGATAATGTCGATGAGTTTCTAAGAGAGAAACTCTAAGCATGCATCAGAGAGAGCGCTGCTCCTTCTGAACACGGGGTTCTGGAAGGCAGTGTAGGAAAGTTCTGGATGTGTCCCCTTGAGGTATAACCACACACAAGGTGTGCTGCTCTACACAGTAAGTATCTTACATTAGTCTGGTTATTTGAGCAAATCCTAGCCTGGGCTGACCATCAGAACTGGACACAGTGCCCATCTGTTTTCTAGTCAGACTCATCTGGTGAGCAAAAGAGGAAAAAGGGGATGTGTGTTCTTTTATTTTTTTTTTTCAATAACCATCCTTGGACAGGACAGTGAAAGACAAGACTGATATAAACAGACTGGGCTAGTGGCTATGCTGAGCATTCCCATGGTGCCCTATTTTTCCTGGGGGGCAACACTTCTCCCTGTTGCATTTCTAGATAGGAACATCTTTGAGTAGACACTCACATAACTGCTTTCAATATGCCCTCCCTGATGGTATAGGTCTTGATTCTATGAACCGGCAGCGGCTGGGTCCTTAAGCTCACACAGAAACTCTCTTCTAGGGCTTCAGTCCCCACACCTAGAAGAAGAAAATGAAAACATAAATAAAACTGCAACTCGACAAGTATCAAGTTCAGAGTCACTTATTAAATTACTCTAAAATATACCAGGAGTATAAAACCCGCTTGTTCTTTTGGGGAAGAAATAATTCCCATTGATATCCTGGGTCTCTTGTTCATTATATATTGAGGTAAATGTCTGGCTGATTTTTAAGAGATCACTAGTATTGTTTCAGGAATTTCTTTGTAAAAGTAACAAGGTGGCTTTGTGTGGTGGTGCACTCCTTTAGTCCCAGCAATGGGGGTCAGAGGCAGGTGACTCTCTGTGGTCTACAGAGTGAGTTTAGGGCCCCCTAGAACTGCGTCCGGGAGGCATTCAAAAATAAATACATAGTAACAGGGTGGTATCCATCTTTGTATATTTCCATTAAGATAGCTATGACAGCAGAGTCCTCAGGACACTCTCAACAGCTACTTACTTAGCGGTGTCCTTTTGTGTCCCAAAAGTCAAAGGCACTAATTCAGATGGGCACTGACCCTGTTTAATGGAGTCCATGTTATTGTAAGGTAGCCAGGAAAACAGAGGCAAAGGAGATCGTGTCAAATGCTAACTTTGCTGTAAATTAGGTAAAAGAGAAGGTTGCAATAAAGGGTGATCTGAGCAAGCTATAGTCAAGAGAAGAACCCAGGACACTTTTGCCTGAACAAACATACGTGCTCTCATCTGTAATAGTCACACGTGGGACACAAGATGGGAGAGTTTCCTCAGGATTTGCCATTAAAGGACCCGACTGAGGGAGGGGGGATTAAACTCTTCAAGTTCTTATCACAACCCTCCATTGCACAAGGAAAACGATCCCAGAAGAGTCAAGGAGACTAAGGAGTTGGTAACATCTAAATAGGCAAAGTTTCTAAGTGCTAATTCCCTTGGTAGCTGGAGCTGCAGCTGTGCGTTTCACAGCTGCAGAGACCTCCAGTCATCCTGATAACGATCAAGTCTGAACTGGAGCTGCCCACAGGAAGGCCTTTGTCTACCATATAGAACTAGAGGCTGAATGCTCACACCTCTTTCCTTCATGGCTCCTTTGCTTTGTTCTTGGTGCCAACCTGCCCATTCTTTGCCCTCTGCCAATATTGTTTTATGCTAAACTTCTCTGGACTCAGAGAAAATTTGGCTTCTTTTAGCTTTCTTTCACCGTTTAAGAACAACATGTCTCTGAGTCGAGTGTACATGGATGTCAAGGGCCAGCAGAACCCTGTTGTCCACACCAGGACTTCTACAGCTTCTCAGCAACACGGGGGGGGGGTGTGGAGCGGAGGGGGGCTGACAAAGCGTCACAAAGACACATTTTTGCCCGTTTTGACATTACTAAGATACCAGCAAGGATTTTTAAACTCCTGCAAGGAGAAAGCTTGGGAATCTGAGAGCAAGTCTCCGGTTCCCTAGCTCCTGCAGACTGTCACCAAGCCAGCCCTGGCCTGAGCCCCAGCAGGTCTCAGGAAACAAGCAAACAAAAGCAGCTGAGAGCTGCACCTCCATCTCAGCAAAAAAAATGCCAGCCTTTTAGCAGTGTGAGACCTAACTGAATATTCTTGAAGTTTTTTTCCCTTCATCAATATTTCTTCTTTTGCCCAATGTCAAGGATTTCCAGAATGTGTTCCCTTTATTCCCTTTATGCTTGTAGAATCTATGATGAAGTTATGGTATTACAGTCTAAGTGTGCAGAACAGAATACAAATAGGTCTATAACTCCAGCCGGAAGGGAAAGGTGACCCTTTAGGAAACATCAGCTGAAACGTTCGGCTACAGCTCAGCGCATCTGCATCCCACCTGGGCATGTCTTCCAGGTTCATTAGTCAACAGAGTGTGGACTATCTTACATCATAAACGGTAAAGTTCACAGCGATATTGGCAGACTCCTCTATTTAGTTGAGGATAATATTGATTTTCTTAATATGAAAATATGAGCTCCTGGTCATTTAATGCTTGATGTTTTTAAGTAGAAGACATAGACTTGCTTCCAAACACACCGTCTGGACCTCATTCCCCACTGTGATGAAACTTAAAGAGTCTGAGAATTTATCAGATCACAATGAAGTAAGCAAAAGCAAGCAACCCATTGTAATCATTGCCAGCATTAATAAAATATCATTATAAGGAGATTGGATGTGCTTAAATAGTCATCAGTAAAAAAATCAGATTTATTCCATTTTAATTCCAGCTCACAGTGCTCAGTGTATAGACAGAATATAACACTCAATTTTAAGTAAATAACATAAGCCTAGAACGGCTGAGAGTTGAAACAAGCATTTCTTTTGTGCATATGGGAAGTCTGAGGCTTCCCTGGACAAAGGAGTTTATTTCAATCAAAACCCAAGTCAATCAAGCCTAGTATCTGAGCCCACCTGGTCCTTGTCCCATCAATAGCTGCTCAACTTACCTTCCACAGAGAACGTGGTGAGGCAGCAGGCTCCCAGGAAAGTCAGGAGGAGAAGTCTCATGGCTGAGGTCTTGCTGTGCTGTGCAAGAGTGTGGAGCAGACTCCCCAGGAACCCCTTTTATTTGCCCCCTCCATTGGTCAGCACACTTCCTGTGGTGAGAGGGGGCTCTCAGGGAGAGTGTGAAATCATGGAAAGTCTTTGCAACACTAATGATATTTTTTTTTCTTTAAACACAAGTACCTTGACTGTGTTCATACTAACATGATACTTTGTGGCCTTTTCCTCCCCCCCATGTGGTTAAAGTGACAAATGTGTGCATGAGACGAAATGTCCTGGTCTCCTTCACAGCGGTGGGTCTAAAGTCAGATCTTCCGTCCCAAAGGCTAGCCAGTGACATGGCTCAGTGTGATAGCGGGGCAAAGGAAATGAGGCGGTGTGGTCACTGTGGTCCAGCCCACCTGCCTGCTGTGACAGAAGGCTTCTCCACCCACAGATCAGCAGCTCCCAGTGCCCTGCCTGACTCCCCAGGACAACAAAAGAACACTACAGCTACCCTGGATTCACCTGCCTTTTCTCCTCATTCTTCTCCTCTGCCCTGACTCAGTTTACCCCCATTTCTTCAGCTTCAAACTACTGGAGGAGAAACATTTAAATAAGTGTTTATGGCAAGTCTCTATGTATGTTTGCTGTTTGGGGGAAACACGTACAAATATATTTAAGCTTATTAAAAACTCATTCTACAGTTTTATTTTAAAGAACGTGAGAGAATACTAGCACTTTCAAGGGGGCTGGAGGGATGGATCCGTGGGTAAGTGTACTTGCTGCTCTTTCAGAAGATGAGAGTTTCACTCCCAGCACCCAAGTCGTGTGGTTTGCAACCACCTGTAATTCCAGCTCCAGGGAATGGGATGCCCTCTTCTGACCTCCATGAGTACCCAAGCACAGGTGTATGGGTAGATGCACATACAGATAAAAGTAAAATTCCAATAGCTTTCCTTTTATTTGCATTCATATGTTTACACAATTGTAGCAGCCTTTTTTCTTTTGGGCCACCAACCAGCTCCCAACTCAAGACAAGGAGACTTCGTATTAGCTATGTGTTCTCAGCTGTATCGTATGCTTGTCTCAGTAGCTCTTATAACTTAAACTGTTCCTCTTCATCTGTGTTTCCTCTGAGGCTTTTTACCCTGTCTTTCCTTCTGTATGTCTAATATTCACTGCTTCTCATGTCTGACTGGTGGTTGCCTGGCTTCTGGCCCTGGGCACGTCCCTCTCTTCCTCCCTGGTTCTCTCCTTTTCTCCCTCTTTCTCCCCAGCTTAGATTTCCTACTTCCCTTTCTGCCCATCAGCCCTGCCCATCCTTCCTCTGCCTACTCTTAGCCCTTCAGCTCTTTATAAGAACAATCAGTCTCTTGCCAACACTAAGGTGGCTCTTTTAACTAAGATATGTGCTTCCCTGCTCCCCTATCCAACCTTCCTTTATCCCAGTCTTCCTGTTTCCTCAAGTTCCCCCAATCCTCCCCTTCTTACTTTTCTCTCCCTGTCCCCCCTTATCCCCAACCCACCCCACCCCCAAGATCCCAATTTTGTCCCCGGCAATTTTATCTACTTCCCTTAGCCAAGAGGATAACTATATGTTTTTTCTTGGGTTCACCTTCTTCTTTAGCTTCTTTAGGTTCACCAGGTATACACTCCGTGACCTTTATTTATGGCTAGAAACCAATTATGAGTGAATACATCCCATGTTCATCTTTTTGGGTCTGGGTTACCTCGCTCAGGATAGTGTTTTCTATTTCCATCCATTTGCATGCAAAATTCGAGAAGTCATTGTTTTTTACCGCAGCATAATACTCTAATGTGTATATATTCCACACTTTCTTCATCCATTCTTCCATTGAAGGGCATCTAGGTTGTTTCCAGGTTCTGGCTATTACAAATAATGCTGCTATGAACATAGTTGAACAAATGCTTTTGTCATATGATAGGGCATCTCTTGGGTATATTCCCAAGAGTGGTATTGCTGGGTCCAGGGGTAGGTTGATCCCGAATTTCCTGAGAAACCGAAACACTGATTTCCAAAGTGGTTGCACAAGATTGCATTCCCACCAGCAATGGATGAGGGTACCCCTTCCTCCACAGCCTCTCCAGCAAAGGCTATCATCGGTGCTTTTGATTTTAGCCATTCTGACAGGTGTGAGATGATATCTCAAAGTTGTTTTGATTTGCATTTCCCTGATTGCTAATGAGGTTGAGCATGACCTTAGGTGTCTTTTGG